ACGTGTAAGAGGTGACATGTTCGTTAGGATCGGTCGTACCGTTATATTTGGGAATTTCGGGCATGCGAAACTTTTTGGGAATTGGCTTCGGTGCCGCACTCGATGGAAAAGGCTTTTGTATGAATTGTTTTGAATTAAGCCCTTTTACCATTGGTGGAGCCTCCGGGATTTGATCGACCCTGGCATTATACGTTTCCATCCTCTTGTCATTGGCTTCGACTCATTTTGTGAGTTTCTCGAGCAATTTAGTAATTCCGGGAGTAGTCCCCGATTCCTGCCCGTTAGATTTTACTATGGCAGGCTCTGTTCTGGGGGTGACCTCTCGAAGTAACCCCTGCCGGACCTCTCGAAGTGGATTGGAAACCAGCCTGCTTTGTGGTTGAGTTTGGCTCTGTAGCCGAGCTATCGCTAATTGCTGGGCTTGCAACATCTCGAAGATCATGCGTAAGCTGGCCCCGATCTCCTCTGGGTTTTGGGTGTCTTGGGCTACGGATCGAGCACCGCCCTGAATGCTTCTTTCCGGTTCGGAACGCTGGTTTGCTTCCAAAGCAATTTGTGAATTGACATCTAGTGGTATTTCGGCTCGAATCTCGGGTAGTGCCAAGTTGTTGGTTTCATCTTGAAGGTCAGCTTCGTAATCAGTTGGTGAAGCCATTCGGTTGGTGGCTATTCGTAGCCGAACCTGAATTGAAGATGTTTTCGGAAATAAGTGACCACTGTTATCCTCGGCCCCATGGTGGGCGCCAAACTGTTTACCCGAAAAATAGATATAGTTGAATTTATACGCAGTTCCGAAGATATGTGGTACAACTTAATACAGAATGCTAGGATAAATAAAAGGACGAATATAGGTTGGAGAAAATGTAATCCAGGCGAATCAGTTATGAACAGTGAATTTAGGATTTAACAAAATAGAATCAATCTCAGAAACTAGAAAGATCTCTCTTGCTTATAGAGGAAATAATACAGTTTTTGATAGTCTAAGTCCTCCAAAAGGTGCCCTACAAGAATGATAAATAAGCCCTTTTATAGTGAAAGGGTTTGACTCCAAGTATAATAAAATAAATATTTAGTGGGAGACCCATGATAAATCAGCTTTTCCATAATTTCTGCCAAGATTCCCTCTAGTGGGATTACAACGGCTTTTGTCTGCGAGCTCGATCTTGCTTAGAATCCTCGATTTTGGTTCGAACTTGATTTCGGCTCGAACTCGTGATCTTGGTTCGAGCCCGATCCTGGTTCGAGCCCTTAGATGGTTTCCAGGTCGATGTAGGTTGGTTTTTGGATTATCAGCACGGTAGATCTACCCGCGTCATGGTTCGATTCTTGTTTGAGTTTGATTATGATATCGATTTCAACACGGACCGGCCTCCCCGGTCTCTAGGATAGTTCGTGCCCCCCTTCGGGATCTTGCTTCGATACACCACCCTTCGAACCGTACCAGATATGCCAAGGCTGAAATCCATTTCGACCGTATACACTGTTATAAGTGGATGACATGCTTATTACCGTTAAAAGCATGTCACATATTGTCCAATTGAAAAAGCATCTAGGTGAGGAGTTTGAGTTGAAGGAATTGGGTGCTGCAAAGAATATTGGAGATGGAGATTACTCGAAATAGAATGATTGGGAAGCTGATATTGTCTCAACAGTCCTTTATTGAGAAGGTCCTATAGAGATTAATATAGTAGGTTCTCAACCTATATCTGTTCCTTTTGCTTCGCAATTCAAGTTGTCTGTAGACATGTCACTAAAAGCATATGAGGAGATCAAACAGATGTCCAGTGTTCTATATTCGAGTGCTGTGGGTAGCATTATGTATGATATGGTTTGTGTACGACTGTACGCTCCTTATTTCCTTGAAATATTAAATGTTAGTTTTTACACCAATGTATATGCATTTGACAGGGCGTGAAATGGATGCTACCCTTTAAATGTTAACTTTACAAGTTCTCTAAAGAAGTACATATTAAATATGACATGTTGAAACAAGGTTTTTTTTTTTTTTTTTTTTACTGTGCAAGTAGTAGGAGTAATGAGATTAAGAACATGTATGCAGTATGTATATAATATAATGGTATGTTTGCTATCCTAAGAACCTTACCAAACTTCGAAGACCTTTAATCAAAAGGTCATGTAAGACACATGTAGAATAATTGAATCTCATGATATGTAATAAAAATCTAGGATGTGAGCAGGGCAGCTCGAGAAGATTGGTGGCCTAAAGCCAATTTTTATTCTAGAGTCTTTCAACAAAAATCAATTCATCTATATTTTTAATTGAAGTCTATTTTTCTAGCTTTTTAAGATGTAAAGTTGTTAATAATTTCTTTTATAAATAATTTAATCTCTCTTAAGATATTGTTGATCTTAGATAATAGAACCAGATTTAAGAAGTTGATAACTTGATATCGAAATAATTTTTGATGTTCTAATATACTTGTTGAAACACTTGAAACTTGAGGAAAAAAGAAGGAAAAAAAGAATGCGCAATATAGTTTTATTAAATAGTACTCTTCAACTATTATTTTTTTTATAGAAAAAATATTTTTTTTTCTTTCTACAGAGAATAATAAAACTTATCGAAAACTTAAGTATTTTTTGCAGAAATCAAATGATGAGAAAGATAAAAAATAAGACTTGGACTATTGAAGATACTAAAAAATAGATTCTAAAAATTTATTACACGTTTTTTGTGAGAAATGTAAAACGAGAATAATAATATAGGTACCTCACTAATGATTTCAATTGTAAAATTTAAATAATGAAAAACAAGAGCTTTATTTCCATTTGCCCCCAACTCCTGTAGTCTTTATTTCGTTTTTTGTGCCTTTATTTTTTTTTTTTGGCCCAAAAAGAATTCTACGAGAAGATAAGTTTGGTTGTGGCCGTTTTAAGATTTTAAAAACTTCTAGGGTAAACTTAAAACTCTCCAATTAAGCGTAAAACTCCTTTCCTCATCGCTGATGAGTCAAAGCTAGCTTCCCCCAAAATTGAGCTTTAACTCCTAATCAGTCCCATCCCTTCTTCTTCTTCAAAATCCAAGCTTTGTTTTCCATATTGCGGCACTTGCTGAACTTGAAAGAGCACTGAAGTAATTTCTTACCATTCAGCAGCCACGATCTGAACATTTGCAATTGAAGAACAGTTACAGGTTTAAATGCTAAATTATGCCTATTCTGATTCTATTCGAAGTCAATGTATTATTTTTCTTTTTCTTTTTATAATTTTTATTTCTTTATAGTTTTGGTGCTGACAAGCGGACGTTCGGGATCATTGTGACGACCCGATAGGTCATTTTGAGCACTTGACTTAATTTTCATGAAAGACCTAACATAACTTCATTTTATGTTTTTTGATTTACGTGCGTGGTACGTATCACTTTTCGAAAAGCTTTTAAGTGAAGTTTTGAAGAAAATAAAATTTTTAACTAAAAATGAGGTTAGAGTTGACCATGGTCAATATTTTAGGTAAATGACCCCGGATCGGTATTTTGACGATTTCGGTAGGTTCATATTGTGATTTTAGAGTTGAGAGTATGCCCGAAATTGAATTCAGAGGTCCCTAGGTTGATTTGGCTTGTTTTGCCGAAAGTTGGCAATTTAAATATTTAGAAATTCCTTAGGTTTGACCATAGGTTGAATTTATGATTATCGGTTTCGGATTTTGATTTTGGAATAAGTCAGTTTTGCTATTTGAAACTTGTCTGCAAAATTTGGTGTGATTCCGAGTTGGTTTGATAGGAATCAGACGCTTGGTTGTGTTTCTAGCTACTCTTGAGTTTCGTTTTGAATTTCATGTGTTTTGATGTTCGATTCGTGGTTCCGAGTTAGTTTGATATGAATCTCGGGTTTTGACCAAGTGAGCTCGGGGTTAACTTTTGTTGACTTTGTTCAAATTCATTAAAGATTGAATCTTTTTCATTCGTGGGTAGTTTCTAAGGCTTATTTTAAATTATTTGAACTATATTTGGCTGAATTTTATTGGTTTGGAGGCTAATTCTAAAGGAAAAGCCATGGTTGAGCATGATTTGGTTGCGAAAGAGGTAAGTGTCTTGGTTAACTTTAACTTGAGGGAATTAACACTTGTTGGACTATTTGCTATGTGAATTATGAGTGGGGACGGCGTATATGTAAGGTGATGAGTTGTAACGATCCGACCGGTCATTTTATGTAATTGCACCCCATTACCCCTTTTTATGCTTCACACATATGTGTTTATAATTTTATGACTTGCGGGGTTGATTAGTTTTGTTCTGGGAAACTTTCGGGTTGATTTGGACCCATTGATCCTTGACTTAGAAGTTTAAATTATAAATATTGACCAAACTTTGACTTTTGTAAAAACGACCCAAGAACTGTGTTTTAATGGCTATGATAGTTTCGTATCGTGATTTCGGAAGTCCGTAGGTTGATTTGTGTTGTTTTATCGAAATTTAGCAATTTGAAGTTGAAAGGTTTGACCGTAGGTTGACTTTTAGCTATCGAGCTCGAAATTTGATTTTGGGAGTTGGAATAGTTCTGTTATGATATTTAGAACTTTTCTGCAAAATTTGGTGTCGTTTGGAGTTGATTTGATAGGATTCAGACGTTTAGTTGTAATTTTACAAATTCTTGAACTTTACTTCAATTCATGCGTTTTAGTGTTCGATTCGTAGTTTTAGATGTTATTTTTGTGTTTTGATCGTGCGAGCGAGTTCGTATGATGTTTTTAAACTTGTGTGATTGTTGCTGGTGGTGTTCGGACATTTTCAGAATGGTTTGAACTAAAATTTGACAGTTGTGTTGCTGGTGCTCAGTTATCGCAAGCATCGCAATTGCGAAGGCAACAGTGGGGGCACATATGTCGCAATTGGGACTTCCCTTTCGCATTTGCGAAAGCAGCAGGATTTTGGCTATGTTCGCAATTGCGAACAATTGTTCGTTTTGCGGTTTGGTGCAGCTTCGTAATTGCAAAAATTTCTGAGGCTGTCAGGGTTCGCAAATGCGAGTCCTGGTCCGCAAATACGAACCATGTGTCGCAAACGCGACATATGCAATTGGTACAAAGGGTTGGGAGACGGGATTTTTGAAAATATTCTCTCATTTTTGAACCCTAGACTCGGTAGGAGGCGATTTGGAGAGGGAAGTTTTACCTACAAACTTTGGGTAAGTGATTCTAATAATATTCCATCAATATATCTTAGATTTTAATATTAAAATCATATGAATCAAAGTGAAAATTGTGAAACTTTCTCAAGTGTTTGAAAAATAAGAATATGAGTTTTGAAAGTCGATTTGGCCTCGAATTATGAAACTAATCACATATATGAAATTGTGGGGTCATTGATAGTCGGAATCTACTATCGGACCCGAATTTTGATCGGGTGGGTCCCGGGTTGACTTTTGTTGATTTTTTGAGAAATATTATAAAGATCATAGCTTTTTCTATTGTAATTAATTTTTCTTGCATTATTGATGATATTAAGTCGATTTTGGTTAGATTTGAGCCGTGTGGAGGCGTGATTTAGGGAAAAAGCTATTTTCGAGAGTTGAATTGGCCTATCTCTTTCATTGTTAATTATCATTATTTGAAGTCATTGTTACTAGTTATCTCTTGCGTTTCTATTATTCTCATTTGAAGTCATGTTACTCCCTCCGTTGTGAGTTATTTTATTTAGTTTGTAGTTACACATTATCTTTCTCATTGTTGAGTTATTGGTGTTGAAGTTGTGGAACTCGTATCATTTTGAAGCAATGTTGATAATTATTGAGTATCTTTCTTGTTGAGAATTTTACATTCATTGTTATTATTGATATTCTTGTACACGTTGTGATGGAGCCTTGGGCTATTGTTGTGGAAATATTGATATTGTTGATTGTTGGCAAGTTATGATATGTGGGCACTTGCGGTACAAATTGTTATTGTAATGTGATATTTACGCACATGCGGCTGTATAAGGGTTGGGGTCAATGTTCATGCGGCGGTATAAGGTGGGACTTATGTGCGTGTTGCTTGTAGGGGAACTGCGTGAAGACACGCGGCGTCATAAGGTGCGCTAAAGTGTTTGTAGCTATTTCGGAAAAACTATTTTCAAAACCTATTTCAAATGTAAGGCTCACGCGACGGTATAAGGAAAGATTGTGAATTGTGAATACGAGGCAGTACCTCGGTTGTGATTCTTGATATATATACACGAGGCGGTACCTCAGTGGTGATTCTTATTGTACATGAGGCGGTACCTCGTTGTGATTCTTGTTGTTTTGTTCTTCCTTGTTTTTGTCAGTTATTATCCGTATATGATCATTGTGATTCTCTTTAACTGATTTCTTTATGTTATTTTCGTGCTTACAATTCCGGTATTAGATCATGCTTTTAACTGTTTCGTGCCAGTTATTTCTCCGTTTTTCATTATTTATTCTTGTTACGTTTTCATACTGTTTATTTATATACTGGTAGGTGTCTTGACCTGGCCTCGTCACTACTCTACCGAGGTTAGACTTAATACTTACTGGGTACCATTGTGGTGTACTCATACTATGCTTATGGACATTGTTTTGTGCAGATCCAGGTACGTCTGCTCGTGCCGGTGGTTAATGATCATCTGTTAGTTGCTTTACATAGACTTCAAGGTATGCCTGCTCGGCGTCCGCAGGCCTCAGAGTCACCTTCCTTTACTCTTACTACTGTTGTATTTTCATTCAGATAGTGATGTAGTAGGCACTCTAGTATGACTCTATAGAGCTTATGACTCATTTCCACCGGTCTTGGGGAGTGTATTGTTGTTGATTATGTTTTCGGAAGTTTATATCAATTATTCAGCCTTGTTTTAGTATTTTGTTAATTATTTCTATCAGGTTATTATTACTCCCTCCCATCCACAATAAGTGACCATTTTACCTTTGCCACACCCATTAAAGAAATACGAACTCCTAGAGGAAAAAAGATGTATTTACTAAATTAACCTTAATTAACTGTTACCTTGATACATTGGATTATGTAAATAAGGAAAAATTTTGAAAAAATAAAATTAATTCCTTCTTGATTATGTAAATGGACACTTATTTTGGACTAAAATAAAAGGTAAAATGGTCTTTTATTGTGGATCGGAGGTAGTAACTATTAAGCTTACCTAGTCGTAGAGACTAGGTGCCATCACGACATCCTACAGAGGAAAATTGGGGTTGTGACAAGTTGGTATCAGAGCTCTAGGTTCATAGGTGTTACAAGTCATAAGCGGGTTTAGTAGAATCCTGCGGATCGGTATTGAGACATCTGTACTTATCTTTGAGAGGCTACAGAACTGTTAGAAAAACTTCACTTCTTTGATTCCTTATCGTGCGAATTTGTTGACTTCGAAAACTGAATCTTTGACTTTCTATTCTCTCATAGATAGTGAGGACACGCACTGCTGGATCCATCGATCAGAAACCTGCGCTCCCTTCTAGAACCGCGAGAGGCCGGGGCCGGTGCATAGGCCGAGGAGGGGCACGTGTTGCAGTTGGAGCACCTGCCCGAGCTGCGATAAAGGAGCCACCAGTAGATCCAGTTGGGGGATAGGCACCCGAGGCGCCTGTTGCCACCCCAACACTTCAGGAGACCCTCGCACAGTTCTTGAGCATGTTTGGTACTCTAGCTCTGGCGGGGTTGANCGCAGACTCCTACGGCCCGTACCCCAGAGCAGCGAGTCCATGTTGTTCAGGTCCCAGAGGTTATACCAGTACAGCCTGATGTTCCGGTTCGGCCCGCGGTTTGGGCAGCAACATCTGAGGAGGAGCAGCTTAGACTTGAGAGATTCAAGAAGTATCAGTCTCTTACTTTCAGTAGTTTAGCTTCAGAGGATGCACATGGTTTTCTTGAGGAGTTCCATTGTATTCTCTGCACCATGGGTATTGTGGAGATGAGCGGGGTTGCTTTCACTACTTTCCAGTTGTTCGGAGCGGCATATCAGTGGTGGCAGGTGTATGAGGAGGATAGCCCAGCCGATGCAGCTTCACTTATATGGACTCGGTTTTTAGAGTTATTCTTGAGAGAGTTTGTTCCCCAGACCCTTAGTGATTCATGGCACACGAAGTTTGAGAAGCTGTGCCAGGGTACTATGACAGTGTCGGAGTATGTTGTCTGATTCAGTGACTTATCCATACATGCACCTGCCTTGGTTTCTACAGTCAGAGAGCGAGTCTGTCGGTTAATCGAGGGGCTTAACTATGGTATTAGATTCAGCATGGCTCGAGAGTTAGAGACAGATACCCCATATCAGCAGGTGGTAGAGATTGCACGGAGGTTGGAGGGTATGCGAGACCGTGAGAGAGAGTACAGGGAGGCCAAGAGGCCTCGAGGTATGGGAGGATTTAGTGGTGGTCACATTTCAGCTACAACCCGTCATTGTAGAGGCTATGCGAGCCGTCCAGTTTATTCAACACTTCCAACTTCTAGTGGTGCTATAGTTGTTCCGAGATCTCTAGTTTCACACTTTGCTCAACCGCTTTCTAGTGCGCATCCTGCATGGGGTGCCATCAACGATCAGTCCAGCCGACTAGGCTCAAGATAGCCCCAGTATCCACGCCCACCGAGAGCTTGCTTCGAGTGTGGTGATACCCGTCACATGGTTAGAGACTGCCACCGACTCAGGAAGGGTGCACCTCCACAGGCTACTCAGGCTCCACAGATTCAGTTAGGTCCAGAGACTTCTCAGGCCATGGTTGCTGCCCCAGTTGCCACTCCACCCGCACAACCAGCTAGGGGTGGGGGATAGGCGGGTAGAGGTTGACCTAGAGGGGGAGACCATGTCATATTCTATGCTTTTTCGGGTAGGACGGAGGCAGTTGCTTCAGACTCAGTCATTACAGGTATGGTTCCGGTTTGCTATAGAGATGCATTAGTCTTATTTGATCTGGGATTCACTTATTCGTATGTGTCAACTTTCTTTACTCTGTATTTGGATATATCTCGTGATTCTTTAAGTTTTCCTGTTTATGTGTCCATGCCTGTGGGAGATTCTATTGTTGTGGACAGTGTGTGTCGGTTGTGTATAGTTGTTATTGATGGTTTTGAGACCAGAGTTGATTTAGTTTTACTTAGTATGGTAGACTTTGATGTTATCTTTGGCATGGACTGGTTGTCGACCTATCATGCTATTCTGGATTATCATGCCAAGACTGTGACATTGGCTATGCCAATGTTGCCATAGTTAGAGTGGAGGGGTGCTTTGGATTATGTTCCTAGCAAGGTTGTGTTATTTCTAAAGGCTCGGCGGATGGTTTAGAAGGAGTGATGCTTATCTAGACTTTGTGAGAGATGTCAGTGCTGATACTCTTACCGTTGAGTCAGTTCCGGTAGTGAGAGACTTTCCAGATATATTTCCAGCAGATCTTCCGGGCATGCCGCCCGATAAGGATATCAATTTTGGTATTGACTTGTTACCGGGCACTCCGCCCATTGCTATTCCACCATATCATATGGCCTCAGCGGAGCTGAATAAGTTAAAAGAGCAGTTGTAGGAGTTGCTCGATAAGGGCTTTATTCGGCTTAGTGTGTCGCCTTAGGGTACTCCGGTCTTGTTTGTGAAGAAGAAGGATGGTTCTATGCGCATGTGTATTGATTATCAATAGTTGAACAAGGTTATAGTGAAGAACATGTATCCATTGCCACGCATTGATGACTTATTTGATCAGCTACAGCGTGCCAGAGTGTTCTCGAAGATTGATTTGCGGTCAAGTTATCATCAGCTGAAGATTCGGAATCCAGATATTCTGAAGATTGCCTTTAGGACTAGGTATGGTCTCTACGAGTTTCTTGTATTATCATTTGGGCTGAGCAATACCCCAACAACATTTATGCACCTGATGAATAGTGTATTCTAGCCTTATCTTGATTCGTTCATCATTGTGTTTATTAATTACATCTTGGTGAACTCTCGCAGCCGAGAATATCATGAGCAGCATTTGAAGATCGTGCTCCAGACTTTGAGAGAGAAGAAGTTGTATGCAAAATTCTCAAAGTGTGAATTCTGGCTTGATTCGGTGGTATTTTTGGGGTCATGTGGTGTCGAGTGAGGGGATCAAGGTAGATCCGAAAAAGATTGAAGCAGTGCAAAGTTGGCCCAAACCGTCTTCAGCTACTGAGATCCAGAGTTTCCTTGTTTAGTCGGGTATTATCGTTGTTTCGCAGAGGGTTTCTCATCTATTGCTGCACCTATGAACAGATTGACCCAGAACGGTGCTCCTTTCAAATGGTCCGAGAAGTGTGAGGCGAGCTTTCAAAAGCTCAAGACTTCTTTGACTACATCCCCAATGTTGGTATTACTTATGGGCTCGGGGTCTTATACTATGTATTGCGATGCATCACGTATTGGCCTTGGCAGGGTGTTGATGCAAGACGGTAGGGTGATTGCCTATGCGTCTTGACAGTTGAAGACCCATGAGAAGAATTATACGGTCCACGACTTGGAAATGGCAGCTATTGTTCATGCCTTGAAGATTTGGCGACACTATTTATATGATGTCCCTTGTGAGGTCTTCACTGACCACCGGAGTCTGCAGCACCTGTTCAAACAGAAAGATCTTAACTTGCGAAAGCGGGGATGGTTAGAGTTTCTTAAGGACTATGATATCATCATCCTATATCATCCCGGGAAGGCTAATGTGGTGGCCGATACCTTGAGCCGAAAGGCAGAGAGTTTGGGTAGTTTAGCATATCTACCAGCATCAGAGAGGCCATAAGCATTGGATGTTCAGGACTTAGCCAACCAGTTTGTTAGATTGGATGTTTTGGAGCCTAGTCGAGTTCTTGATTGCGTGGTTTCTCGGTCTTCTCTATATGATTGTATCAGAGAGCGTCAGTACGATGACCCCCATTTTCTTGTCCTTAAGGACACGGTTTAGCACGGCGATGCCAAGGAGATTTCTATTTGGGATGATGGTGTGTTGCGGATGCAGGGTCGGATATGTATGCCTAAAGTGGATGGTTTGCGTGAGTTGATTCTTTAGGAGGCCCACAGTTCGTGGTACTCCATTCATCCGGGTGACGCTGAGACGTATCAGGATTTTAGGCAGCACTATTGGTGGAGAAGAATGAAGAAAGACATAGTGGAGTATGTAGCTCGATGCCTAAATTGTCAGTAGGTGAAGTACGAGCATCAACGGTCGGGCAGTTTGCTTCGGCGACTCGAGATTCCCGAGTGGAAATGAGAGCGTGTCACCATGGACTTCGTTGTTGGGCTCCCACGGACTCAGAAAAAATTTGACGCGCTATGGGTGATTGTGGACAGGTTGACCAAGTCGGCTCATTTCATTCTGGTGGTGACTACCTATTCTTCAGAGCAGCTGGCTCAGGTTTATATCCGCGAGATTGTCCGACTTCATGGCATTCTGGTATCCATCATCTCTGACTGGGGTACTTAGTTCACATCGCATTTCTGGAGAGCTGTACAACGTGAGCTAGGCACACGAGTTTTATTGAGTACATCATTTCACCCTTAGACAGATGGACAGTATAAACGCACTATTCAGATATTGGAGGATATTCTTTGTGCTTGCGTTATGGATTTCGGGGGCTTTTGGGATCAATTCTTGCCGCTTGCGGAGTTTGCCTATAACAACAGCTACCAATCGAGTATTCAGATGGCTCCTTATGAGGACCTGAAGACGGTGTCGTTCTCCATTTGGTTGGTTTGAGCCGGGAGAGGCTAAGCTATTAGGCACAGATTTGGTTCGAGATGCCTTGGAGAAGGTCAAGATGATCCAGGATCGGCTTCGTATAACCCAATCTAGATAGAATAGCTATGTGGATCGGAAGGTTCGCAATGTTGCATTCATGGTTGGAGAGCGAGTCTTG